TGCCCCCCAAATTGTTTCTAAGGTGGTCAGGAGAACCCTCAGAAGAGCACACCAGGAGAGGAGGGGATTGCCCTCTTTCTTAACCCAATATGCTTGCACAGATAGAACGCTTGTAGTGTTGGGATGTTAAATTTCATTAACAATTTTTTCACTAGCGTTATACATTGGTAAGGAAAGGTTAAGTGTATATGGGTGTGTTCCTCTGAATTCAATGGCATAATAGACTTGGGTATTTGACTATTTAATATCCTGTTTCTTTGTACTTGAAAGATTTGTAGTGGGAGAGAAATGAACAGAAAGATTGTGTTTGTGACTGAAATCCAGCTGCCTTTCATATTAGACCACAGAATTGTTTAAAAGGGCATTGCAAACAATACCATGTTCAGATGAAGCAACAGCGGATGTTACAGTAAGCAGCAGCATGTCGCGTTCTGCAACAGCACATGGCTTAATCCATGTGATTGACCTTTTGAGTAAACGGCTGAGATAAAAGCACCTTGGAAAGATTTGAATTAGCATAAAAATATGTTAATGTATTTATTTATTACCCACCCTTCACCCTAAGGTCCCAGGGCAGGTTACAACAATTCAAACAGTTTAAAGCAGCCTACAGTCACAGAAATAGGTTGGTCCTAAAAGCATACATCTCAGTTATCAAAAGCCAGGTTAAGGCGGTATACAGGTATGTGTTTGCGGTGGATGAAAAGCCCATTGACAGTCTGCATGAGAGGAGCGGTTTGTGCTGAGCACGAGATATTCTGAAGAAGCAGCGCATTAGCTATAGGGCTGGAGCTGTAGAGGAGCATGCTCAAGCAGCATTTTCTAGGTTCTTGTTGATGAGGTCTAGAGTGTAGGGAGGAAAGTTCCCTAATAGTGAAGTGAAGCATACAGTTGCTTAGAGCCATCAGATAATAAGAGAGTTTGCTAGACTCAGAATGCTTCTGCAAGGTTAGTGGCTGCTTCAATCACAGTGGATCTCAGCTTTGCAATATTTCCTTTATTAAACCTAAATTTGTACTGTAGAGATTCCTTCTTCTCCCAGTCCATTGGAACTCATGGGCTGTCTCTCCCTGTACCTACCACTTTTTTCAAGAGTTTAAGAACACACTTCAATCAGACAGGTCGGGAGGGAGAGAATTGTTCGAAAAAGTGTGCTGAATTTTGGTTGGTACCCTGGTTGTGGAACTCTCTCACTTTTGAAATTTGCCTGGCTCCCACCCTTTTTTTTCATTTAATGCCAACTTAAAACATGGTTACTTAGCCAAGGCTTTAGCAGTCTTTAAAATGCAGCAAGAATTTTTAGAAGTTCTGCAGTTTTGTGATTGATTAAATTGTGAATTTTATCTGTTTTTACCTGTGGATGGATTGTTGTTTGAAATAAAGCTTTGATTGTCCCTATCCTGAGATCCTAAGGTGGACTGCAAATAAATAAACATATAGCCACATGAGCAAAACCAATCATGTATGTTCCCCCTAATGTTTCTAAAAACCTGTACATCCATACATTCCAAGTTGCTACAGCAGTGTTTTAAGGGCACATTCCTTTGCAAATATTTCATGTTAGTAATACATAGGCTTGATGACAAGCATGTGAATTAGGCTATTTAGTGCCAATAAATATCCTTTCCCCCATATCTATTCTTTCTTCATACTAAGTGGTCCTTTAAATAACACCTATTTTTCTGTAATTGTTGTGAGATTTTAGTTCAGCTTATCCCATATTTATGGTATTTGTATAATGCAGTTCAGACAGACCTGTTTTCTCAGATATAGTCCTCAGAAGCCCCCGTGGTGGTAGCTCACTGAGGTGTTTCTTCGTTTTCCATCATAATGTAGCCCACTGCATGCAAAGGATTTTCATAGATTTGGTGGAACCTCTCCCTATGTGCAGACAATGGTAGGGGCAATTGAGAGACTGTATGTACCTTCCATATTCCAGTTAATCTCTCTTCCTTGTCCTTATAGAAATCCTTTGCTTGTGTGCACTCTTTGCTAACGGGACTGGATTATTCTCCTTGCTATTTATGGCCTTGCAGGCAGATATTATGTACCAGCATTAAAATAACTCAACATGTGTTTTAACCATTCTACATATTACTTTTTCCAGCACACCAAGCTTTTTAAAGAAAATTGGTCTAATTAAACTTCTGTGCTGTGGGATTTGATAAATCAAGTTTAAGTTGAAGTATATTTTCTTGGAGAAAAATTGTTCTGAGCCAATTAAAGTGTAATTTCAAGGTAAAGTTCATTTAACTGTAAAGTGGGAACGTTTCTGGAAATGTATTTATTTATGCTAAATACACCCCCCACACTCCCTATAGCATTAAAATTTCTGAAGGTTAAAGATATTTGTTGTAGTAGTATTCTAGATGTAGCTAGCTTTCTAAAGAAGAAATAATGTGAAGGCTTTTGTTAAATTCAGCAAAGCTCATTAGAAAGTATTAAAAAGATTACATTGAATGTTTGCTCATATCTAAACAGCAGAATTCAAAATATGACTGCTCTTCTGTTTAGTGTGAAGTTAAAGCTGAGAAATATATAAAAGTCTATGTAAATTTCAGCTTAAGGGTAAATTAAGCCAATATTTGATGTGCAGTTCTAAATAACAGTGCCCCAGTTCCTATCTACGTTTCATGAAGATTTTGCAAAAAAAATTTGACAAAGTTATTAAATAACGTTACCATACCAAATAATATGTCAAAAAATATTTATGTGTTTTTCTGCTGAGACCAGCAGAGTTTTACCTTTGCTACCCTTGCAGATATTTGAGTAGAAGGATCTGTACATGTTCATTCTACAACTTAGAGATAACAGCTAGTGGTGGTATATGATTATAAGAAACAGGTCGTGTTGCTTTGCCATTAAATATTGGACCAAATATGTCAAATTACCTGAATATTGGTCTCATTTTTCATACTTTGATTTTTTAAAAAAATAAAGTTAAAAAAACAGACCTAGAAGGTTTCCTTAAACCTCATATATGGTGGTAAAAAAATCCTCTCTCTTGTTGGTCTGTCATTTTCTTAGTACTATACCAGTCCCATTATCTAATCTCCTTGATGCTGATATTATGGATGCACAGGCAAAGCATACTGCTGGATACTGTTTCAGTATTATAGTTTAACATTTAGTATCATCTATTGAAATACAGTGTGGTTTGTTGTTCCCTCGTTGACGGCTCATGCATAGCCACTGTTTTGTAAATGCCACTCCAGGAGAATTCCATTCCAATTGCCACCAGCAATGTTTTCACAAGATGTCCACCAACGTAACTGCTATGGCATGACTGAACATGAAAAATGCCTATTAGGTTTTCTTGCAGGAGGTAGCAATGTATCACTGGGTGGGGCTCAGAGGACTGGTATGCATGTTTCCTTGGCACTGGAGGTTGAGTTTGTAGCACTATGCTAATGCAGTTAATATAGCAATGCTTTTTTATATATTACCCAAACTAATATTTTCTTCATGATGACTGGAGAAAATACCATAAATCAGGGTAGGGAACCTGTGGCTTTCCAACTGTTGTCAGACTTTAATTCCTGGCTAGTATGGTCTATTGCCAGTGACTATTTATTTCATTTACAATCTGTTAGAAAAACTTACATACCAACTTTTATGTAAGCATCAAGATACAATAAAAATTCCACAGATATAAACTAAAACAGCAAACTGGTTTCATGCACCCTGTGTTGCCAGGCAGCTGTAGCCAGGAATGGCAAGCTCTGCCAGAGGAAGAGGAGGACCCTAAGATGGGGGCAGGGGAGACAGTTTGAATAGTGATCTGGATGCAGCTTCTGCCCCAGGGTCATTGGATGTCCCATTTGGGGAGGGAGAGCCAGTCAAACCAATTTCACCATGCCTCCAGGGAGTGAGGCACCTATAGTAGCCAGCTGGCCAATCTGCAGAGCTGGCCAGATCAGAGGCAGCCAAAGTATTGGACTTGAGTCCTGTTGCCAAGGCCACACTGCCATCAGTGCAGACTCAGCCTTCCGCCCTCCAACTAGAGTGCTCGCTTGCAAGCAGACCTGTGCAAATTATGGGTTGTACGCCTCTAAAAGTATAGCAGGAGCAGCAGGTCAGGTGTTGGGACGTCTTTGCTTATGCCTTGTGATGTATCATGGATTCTGCTGTTGAGCCTTTTGAACATTGTAACGTAATTCTGGGCTGATGCAGAGATTGCTTGTTGATGTTGTCAACAAAACTTTTGGGATATCCTAGCCGAGAGTCTTGAGTCAGGATAACAGGGAAACAGTCAGCAGAAAATACGTTCAGGTTCACTGAATGCCTGCCTGAATAAAAATGATTTCGATTTCTTGTGGAAGCAAGCTACTGAATAGGCTTACCAAAGATGAGCGCCGCACCCCATAGTCAAGGACTGGACTTAATCATCCAAGGGTTCTTTACCTTTTACAGGAGCACTTAGGGGAGATTCTTCCACAACACAGATACCACAATTGAAAATGGTTCCTTCCTTTTTGCCACCTAATGAGTATAAGGCAGATTGTGGCACAACCAAGAGAGACTCATCAAAAGATCGCAGGTGATGAGTTGTAGCCCACCATCATCTAGAGCAGTGCTCTTCAACCTTGGGTCCCCAGGTGTTGTTGGACTCCAATACCCATAATCCCCAGTCAGCTTAGTCAATGGCCAGGGAGGGTGGGAGTTGTAGTCCACCAACATCTGGGGACCCAAGGTTGAAGAACACTGATCTAGAGGACTACAGGTTCCCCATCCCTGTCATAAATTGTATCTGTGTACAGGAAGGTGATCTATTGACATCAGGCCAAGCTTTGCCTTTACATCTTACAAGTATGCTACTACAGTTTTTGGTAGATAGTAAATGCTGTAGCTGGGGTATGATAAGCTACAGCATGAAATTGGTGCATTTTTGTAAGCTTCTTCAGTAAATGCTACTTAAAGATATTAAGTAATGCAATGAAATATGAAGGTTGCTGCGCCATTCAAGGAAAATAATATTTGCTTTTAAAAATGCCTTTTAGGAAAGCACAAGAAGAAAAAAAGAAAGTTGTTCTAGCTGGATGTGTTCCACAAGCCCAGCCTCGACAAGACTACCTACAAGGCCTGAGTATCATTGGGGTAAGGAGATGACTATGGATGTGGCATTGTTAAAACCTGAGCCTCAAACTTTAACTCAAGAGTTTTAATAATGTAACAATATTGAGGTTTCGTTTGCCAGTGTAATATCACTGGGTTTGGCTTACTTGCACCTCTAGTGAACGAAGGCAGGAGTAGCTTACAGGAAATAAGCTGGCCCCTCTTCAGATTTTTCTCCTGCCTCAATGAAGCAGTCACAACCCTCCAGAGCAGATTTTGGGTTGGCAAACTTGTGGCATCAGTAATGCACCTCCAAAACATGACTTCAGAAGGACTTGTACACCTAAAACTTACAAGTCAGGCACAAGCATACTCATTCACTTCTAGGGTTCTTTATATACCTGTAACTACTTCTAACTAAGACAAATACAGAAATAAAACATTCTGAAAGTGTCACTTTTGCTAGCGTTTGAGGCAAGGAGAAAAGGCAGTGGAATATATATGATCACTAAGCTGATCCTGACAAACTGAAGAGAACTAGTGGCAGACCTGTTATCAGCATCAGCTTCAATTAATATAATGAGCATTTTACATAAAGTTAGATGAAGCATGCTACCCAAAGGGGTTTAACAAACAAACCCAGAGAGAAAACAAATACATGAAACCGTAGTAGAAGCTGACCTGAAAATTTGGAACTAGAGGCTGGAAGTTGTATATAGTGGAGAAAACAATTAAAAGTGTGTGTACAGTGGTGCCTCGCAAGACGAAAATAATCCGTTCCGTGAGTCTCTTCGTCTAGCGGTTTTTTCGTCTTGCGAAGCAACCCTATTAGCGGCTAAGAGGATTAGCGCTATTAGCGGCTTAGCGGCTATTAAAGGCTTAGCGGCTAAAAGGCTATTAGCGGCTTAGAAAAAGGGGGGGAAAGCGGAAAAAATCGCAAGACTTGCAAGACGTTTTCGTCTTGCGAAGCAAGCCCATAGGGAAATTTGTCTTGCGAAGCAACTCAAAAACGGAAAACCCTTTCGTCTAGCGGGTTTTTCGTCTTGCGAGGCATTCGTCTTGCAGGGCACCACTGTATGTGGTTGTGTTATGTTATGGCATGTTTATATACCGCTTTTTGGCCCAAATAGCCCCAGAACGATGAACAGCATATTAATAAAAAAGAAATACGCAACACCGATACAATAAATACAGGCAATGACCATTATAGGGGCATCCAATTGATGCGCCATCGCTGAAGCGTGGGTCCTTTTCGACCCAGAAGAAGGCAGAATGGGGTGTGCTTATATGCACTCTGCTGATGCATGTGGGGGCCAGGAAAAGAGTACCCACACAACATAAACATAAAACACAATATAAAACTGTAAAATCACAAAATATTCATCAATCACCCTGGGCATGTATTCAGAATGCTGGTTAATCTCTGTGGCAAAGAAACAGGGGGGAAAAAAAACATGTATCAAGCTACTCCTCTCTCCCTCCTAGGCTACTCCTCTCTCCCACCTAGGACTACAAACCTCCCTCTCATCTCTTACTTGGGGGGGGGGGACAGATTCCACCAACAGATTCTGCCTCATCCTGAGGCAGAAAACACTTCTTAACGTTGCAGTCAGCCAACCAGCAGACAAAATTATCATTAACACCACATTATAATAAATAGAGCCTTGAGAGGAAGTGGGAGAAATCCTACAAACCTGGCATACACCCATTTCCCACCTGTCTTCTAATCAGGGGGAGCAAGATACACAGCAGCAGCCTCCCATCTTCTTTCAGCAGGTAATAAACATCCCAAATAACACTGCAGTATTATGTAAGAACTTAGCTAAGGGGTGGGTGGTGGAGAGATCAGGTCAACAAGCTAAAACTCAAAAAGGAGGTGCCCTTAAGTGTGTGTGCATTGTGCTCTCTGTGTGCATGTATATATTCCTGTACATGTACACCATATCTGTCTCCATTGCTAGAATTTGAATTATACAAGGCCAATTGTGCAAGGGAAGTGGTGATAGATTTTCTGGGCATCTGTAGGTGTTTGCTTGTGAGTTACTGATCTGAGGAATTTGCTACGGGAGAGGCAGGTAGGAGTGTAAGTCTGAATCTGTAGACAGATTTGGTGTCCCATCCTGTTTTTTATCCATATCTGCTATCAGTCCCATCAGACCAAGCGACTTTACTACTCATGCATTAATATATCAGTTTGCTGCTTTGTATAAATGCTTCTTGTCTTGGTGGTCTGAAACTTGCACCCATCTTTTATTTGGATTCAGTTATTTCTGTGACAAGTAAAGGTGGTACCTCAGTTTCTTTATTATTATGAAGTAAGTTGCTGTACACCAGCCTTTACCTTGGATAATTGCTAAAGGAGTGCAATAGCTAGCTTGTGTCATTAGGATTTGTTTCCCCACCCACTTACGCAGGAGTAAAATGCTGTCTTTCCTATATTACAAGCAGAAATATAATACAGATTCAGCAAAATGTATGTTTCTTCTCTATGTGAATTAAATGCCAAGAGAATGAGAACCGTCCAAAAATCATCAGAATATCCACATTGTAATTTTTTTCATCTTTACAGGTTCAGCAGATAGATCGTGTCGTAGAAGTTGTTGAGGAGACGATCAAAGGTAAGCTTTTCACCTGAAATGATTGTGTCTTCATTCTTTCCAGTGCTCATTACTGACTTTGAACACACAGACCCCATAAGGAGCCTTACTGCTGAAATATATCATGTATGTATTGTAAATAATGACTGAACTGTAAACATTATATGCTGAATATATTAGAAAAATCTGTAGAAAACTTAGCCATATCAATGTAGAAATGCACAATTTTAGATCTTTGGTCATTCTCTTCCCCGCCCCTCAGTGCTTCTTTTACTACTATTTCATGATATGAAATACTTCCTGGAGATCACTGCTCATTTTATTGCCTATTTGTGACTTGTTGATTTGGAATAAGTGTGGCTACATACCAATGGGCATTGGCCAATATGACTTACTTCACAATCTGATCATGAGTACATGTCCAGTAGAAGAAAAGCTGTATCTGTGTTTAGAATTTAAGATATTTAGGGAAGGGAACTGCATTCTGCTTTGTAAAGTTCTATGCTCACTGAATCCTCAATGATAATCATTGAAATTATGATTCTATAGATTATATTTTTATTCACTCTTGCATAACAACTTACAGTCCCATACAGAGTATCATTCTGAGAATCTCAGCACTTTTATACTGCCACGTTTGTTTGTTTTATTATTTATTACACTTGTTGCATTTTACAAAAAGAGTCCCACAGTGTCTTAACAAGATAAAATACAACCAGTAAAAACAAAGCCAGAAAATTTGAAGCAGTTTATGATACAAATGCCTAAAATGCTTGTCCAATGACATAATAATAGCAAGCCTACCCACCCTGCTAAAAGATGAGCCGGCTTAGAGTCGGCTCTAGAGGCCGGCTTAGCTACCCAAGGCGTAAGTGAATAAAAAAGTGTTAGCCTAATGCCTAAAAACTGATTGTGCCAGGTGCGTTTCCCTGATGAGGCCATTCTTCAGATGGGGCCACCACTAAAAAGGTTTGTTCTCATGTGGCTACCTTCTGCTATTCTCTCAGGTGAGGCATATAAAGAAGAGACTCTGATGTAGACATGATAATGAAGCATAATGGAGAATGTACTTTTGATTCTGCCCTTGTTGCCAGTGCCATCATGGCAACACTGGGGATATCTGGTCCTCTGAGGTCCACAAGATTGGAGGACCTGTGAGGGCATTTGCTTCATGCCACAAGAGAGTTCTCAACTGTTGTTTGTTGACACAAAATTATGTCGGATTCTTTTGATACTTTAATACTGCAAACACTATCAGGTTTAAATATTTTAAATCAAATTAATTAGCTTCCTGCAGGAAAATCAAATGCCATCATGCATATAAAGTGCACCCCTATGAGATTAAGGGGAAGCTAGACTTTGTGACTGAGCAAAAACTGTTTCAGTCTAGAGTATTTCACAAAACATTTTGTGAAATGGGTCACTGGACAGGATTGTTGAAAACAAGTCAAAGGAAATAACTTCAATGATGTTGGACTTTTCAGACTTCATATACGCTTACTAAGTTTCAGTCACATTAATGTGTCTAGTAATATGGTCTATCTGTTCCTAGTTTAAATATTAACTAATGTTTGCTAACTGCTAGCTACCAGCCTATTTTATTATTGTTGATTGCTAAAAGCTTATGTGATTTGTATGTGTGTTGTATAGCCTAATGAATAATGCTTTTACTGGCATGGTGTTTGTTAGCAGTTTGTTTGTTTGTTTCAATATTTATGTAATGGCTTTCGTAATATTTATTTCAGGGTGGTTAAGAGTAGAAGTATCAAAGTGCTCTCTCACATTCTCTGTGGCCTGTTTTCCGCAGTACATTTTTTTAACAGTGAGAAGCACGTATATATTTTGTCACGTGTGCATGCTTTGAAAACCTATGTCTTATTTCAGCATTCTGCTGCATGTTCATGTAACAAAATAGTCATGTAATTTCTTCACACTCAATGTTTTAAAATCACTGTGGATATTTCTTCCTATATGGTAGTGAAATCCAAGTAGTAAAAAACCATCAATTACTCATGTGTGCATTCAGTTAACTTGTTACTTCCTACTTCCATTTCTACTCCAGAATATGGAAGGATGCCCTCCTTTTAAACTTTCTATAGTTATGGTAAATTAAATAAAACTAGTAAATTAAGCTTTAAAATAAAACACTAACATCTTTGAAACATAATAATACTGGCATTGAAATGAAACACTTAGCTGGAGAAGAGAGGAAGATACGTTCTACATAGCTTATGGGAATCTGGTCAGTCGTACAAATAGAAAAAATAGACATTGTCATAGTGGGTATTAAGGTAAAGGTAAAGGTACCCCTGTCCGTACGGGCCAGTCTTGACAGACTCTAGGGTTGTGCGCTCATCTCACTCTAGAGGCTGGGAGCCAGCGCCGTCCGCAGACACTTCCGGGTCACGTGGCCAGCGTGACGAAGCTGCTCTGGCGAGCCAGAGCTGCACATGGAAACGCTGTTTACCTTCCCGCTAGTAAGCGGTCCCTATTTATCTACTTGCACCCGGGGGTGCTTTCGAACTGCTAGGTTGGCAGGCGCTGGGACCGAGCAACGGGAGCGCACCCCGCCGCGGGGATTCAAACCGCCGACCATGTGTTCGGCAAGTCCTAGGCGCTGAGGTTTTACCTACAGCGCCACCCACGTCCCAGTGGGTATTACTGGAGGTGTTATTAATGGAGAGTTTTATATAAAAGATATTGGTGGAATGGGAGGACAAATGATGTGCTCACACCTACCCAAACAACCTTAGCAAAAGAGATGGAACGGATAGTGGGTAACTTTGAATTGACGATGTGAATATTCAAACTCCAATTCCGGATCAAAAAAGAGGATGTTGCATATGTGTTTAGTTGGAGCACTGGGAAACTATAGTTAATTAGTGATTTCCCGGTTTAATTACAGCTAGTGGGAGGGGAGGAGCAAAGGAGTTGTGTTCATCGGTAAAAGTTTTCATAGCTTCTCTTTTTAAATCTAGACATTCTCACCATATCACAGGCATAGTGTGAGCAGCCAGTGACACGCTCTGTGTAGCCTTTCTTGTTGATGTTCATTAGTCACATGAAAAATATTAAATAAAATATTTATTCACTATGTGAATAACAAGAGTGGATTGCTTATTAATTGAATTAATACTAATTAATTACTGCTTAGCTTAAATAGAAAGAGGTATGCCAAAAAGCATTCTGTAGTGAGAGAGGGTTTATACAGACAACCAATTTTTCCCTTTCATGTTATGACAGTTGCAATACATTTTGATGGTATGAATCCAGTACTGTCTCTCACAGTACTCACCAGATTTATATTTATTTGCCTTGCTTAACAGGGGAGAGAGTTGTCATGCCTGATGGCTTTATGTTCAATATAAGCTTTATTGCTTGCTTGAGTAGTTGGTTTAACCAATTTTGGCGTGTTTCCCCTTGTTTTCTTCCACTCTTACAGTGGTGCCTCGCAAGACGAAAAGAATCCGTTCTGTGAGTCTCTTCGTCTTGCGGTTTTTTCGTCTTGCGAAGCAAGCCCATTAGCGGCTTAGCGGATTAGCGCTATTAGCGGGCTTAGCGAATCAGCTGATTAGCGGCTTAGCGGATCAGCTGATTAGCGGCTTAGCGGATCAGCTGTTAAGCGGATTAGCGGGTCAGCTGATTAGCGGCTTAGTGGATCAGCTGATAAGCAGCTTAGCGGATCAGCTGATAAGCGGCTTAGCGGATCAGCTGATAAGCGGCTTAGCGATCAGCTGTTTAGCGGCTTAGCGGATCAGCGGCTTAGCGGCTTAGCGGATCAGCTGATAAGCGGCTTAGCGGATCAGCTGATAAGCGGCTTAGCGGATCAGCTGATAAGCGGCTTAGCGGCTTGGGGAAAAGGGGGGGGGAGGAAAAAAACCCTGCAGGAACTCGCAAGACATTTTCGTCTTGCAAAGCAAGCCCATAGGAAATTCGTTTTGCGAAGCACCTCCAAAACGGAAAACCCTTTCGTCTAGCGGGTTTTCCATCTTGCGAGGCATTCGTCTTGCGGGGCACCACTGTACTTTCTTTCTCAAGCTGCACACTTATTTCACTTGGTCAACGTAGGAAGTCTTTTCTCTTCTTTGAATTTTTCAGCAGATAATGAGAAATGCGCTCCTTATAATGGGTGTTTATAGCATGCTGACTTCGACAGAGTTTCGGGCCTGACGTGGTGGAATGGCCAGGCATTCCATTATTTTTAATGGTCTGTTTCTTAGGGCTATTAAAATTAAAAAGTGGTGATCATGGTTATATGAAAATAGTTTTTGCTTTAGTTTGAAGTTTGTAGGCAAGCATAATGCCAATGACTTGACTTTGTGAAACAGTTCTTACCATTTTCCCACTAATTAGTGGGTTGTCCATCTGTTTTGGCTTATTCACTCTGAGAGAAAGAAGGAGGGAAAAAGCTTGGAGTTTACTTATATGTTACTCATCCTTCCCTTGAATTCCTCTTCACCTTGATGATGGACATTATTGAACAAAGTTCCTGCTCAGATAAAACAACTGAAAGTACAGTATCTTCAGATAAACTGTTCCAATCTTAATTTACCTAAGACTCGGTCCCAGCGCCTGCCAACCTAGCAGTTTGAAAGCACCTCCGGGTGCAAGTAGATAAATAGGGACCGCTTACTAGCGGGAAGGTAAACGGCGTTTCCGTGTGCGGCTCTGGCTCGCCAGAGCAGCGATGTCACGCTGGCCACATGACCCGGAAGTGTCTCCGGACAGCGCTGGCCCCCGGCCTCTTGAGTGAGATGGGCGCACAACCCTAGAGTCTGTCAAGACTGGCCCGTATGGGCAGGGGTACCTTTACCTAATAGGTATAGCTGGAAAAGGAAGTTGCCCCCGCTTTCCTCTTCCTTTTCTTCCTTCTCAATGTGTGGCTATAACAATTATGTGAAGCAAGTTGCCGCCTTCCTTTAGTGCGTCTGAGTTTTGTGTAGCAAGAGGGTGCTTGGCATATTTGCATGCAATGCGCTGTCACGAGTCCATGTGCTTCTGGTTGTAAACAGTAGCAGCAA